TTTTTTGTCTCTATGCAATCATAAAGAAATAAGCTGTTTAATAGCATTAGAGCTGAAACCGTAAAGTCCAAAAGACGTGTGAAAAAGAATACATGTACATGTACGTATCACTTTATTGCGACTAAAAATGGATAAAATCAATTGAAATAGCACACCTTTTGAGCTGATATAAACGCCATTCCTCGTGCAATATCGCTTGCGAATTTGTAAAGTTGTTCTGTTGATATTTTCCGTGGGAAGTCGTCTGTCTCTCCTTTACTTTTCTTAAGATATCCAAGGAGATCGCCATGTGGGACAAACTCCAGGATAAGAAGAGGAGGCTCTAAACATATACAGACATTAGCTTATAGTGAAGGTCAAATCAGCAACAGTCTAAAACAGACACAGTTAGAGGGCGCTGTGACCGCAATAATCGAAAGAACTTCATTAAAGCTGATGAGAGAAATTTTGGATTGTAGCAGTCAAAGGCTTGAATTCCCGCAGAAGGATGCGACTGTAAGTAGATGATTAGTTAAAATAAATTAAACATTAAAATTGATAATGCATTTAGTCCATTTTTATACTAAAGAGACAGACCTACCCTTCACTTTTCACAAGATTTGATTTTTACTATGAAATAAGCCAAACATACTAAATTCGCGTCCTTCGCATTGGAAGATATCTTTTGTCAAACAGCCCAACAGTTGTACTACGTTAGGATGAGGTACAGCTTGAAGTTTTTTCAGCAAGTTCAGCTCATACCACAAATCTCGCGAGTCCAACAGGGAGGATTCTTCTACAACAAAGGTCATAAATAGGATATATATATGTCAAGGTATATTTCTAAACAAATTATAATTTACCCATTCTTTCCGATAACGTGGTTACAATTCCTCTTTCTAAAGCAATTTTCGTTACCCTTTCACTGCTAATCCCTCTCGCACGAATAAAAAGTTCATTTACCGTTTCTCTTACGACCGAGACGCACTTTATAATACATTCACTTTAAGAAGTGTTTTACTGACAAATAGACGCAGTTTTAATGAACACTTGCTTCATTGGTCTTAAATGGTAACACAAGTTTGACAGAAATAATGAAGATGGAATTTGCATAATAGGTGTGCACAGAACAGGGATCTTCTCTCTATGTGGCATCTGGCATCTGGCATGATAATACCAGAAAAATTGTCTAATGCGTCAGGAATTGAAAAGTAATTCACGTAATTAGAATTGCTTCTGATTAGAATTCAAGCAACTCTTTCGCGTCGTTGGGTTTTCCTCGTACTTTGTATCTCGTTGGAAACACGCTGACGTTTACACTAATATTTGAATATCTTGACAGTCATCCATACCTTTCAACATTTTAACTGCCACTTCTGACCAACCTTGAGTACGACCCACATACTTTGCCTCACCCTTCCACACCTGACCAAACTCTCCTTCGCCGATTTTTTCAAGCAGTTTCAAGCTTTTGCAGGGCACTTCCAAGTCGTTGCTACTCTGTACTGGCGTGTATGGTGACTCACCCTTGAGATTAGAAGGTAATGATGATTTTAGATTTCTTGGAGCCTTATAGGGGGCAGTGGAGCAATTATCGACTTGGGAGCAGAAGTTGTTGTGCAGATGTTCCAGTTCAATGCTTCCCCTGAAATCAGAAGCTAAAGATGGATTTGCAGGTCTTGGGATTTTGTAGGGAGCTGCTGTGCATCTCTCATGCTGATGACTTTGCTCTTCTTGAAGAGTTGTCAGAAGAGGAGTGCGGCCACTTGATTGGTCAACAACCTCAATGTTTGCGCAGTGTTGAACTCCTATTTCACCCCGTAAAGTGTTATCTTGTCTTTCTTGATCAGAAAACTGAGGGTTTGTTATTGCAGCTGTTGAGACTGTTTCTTTCGGTTTAAGCAGAGGGCGATCGTTGGGCAAGGTCTGACGGAAACATATTATTCTTCTTCCTTTCAGGATGAGTGCAAGCAACAGTAGGCCAAAAATGGTGCCAAGAACTACAGATACAGTTATCCATGTAAAGTTATTACGTTTTTTGCCGCCGCTGCTGGTTGGCGCCATCGATACCTTGAGCTCTGTTTAATGACATTTAGGACCCAAAGATTATCAAAGGCTGAGTACCTAAATATGTATTTATTTATTATAAACAAACTGAAAAGGCGGGAAATAAATTTTCATTCTCAAGCTGGTCGAAGAAGCAAGAGCCAATGAAATGGCGCGTATCACATTTTTGGTCGTGTGAGGAAAACGATACAGCCAATCAGGAGCCGCCTATCATGTTTTTCACGTGTAGACTGCATCAAAGCGTTTCTCGTTTAACCGTCACTTGCAGCAATTTGCTTTTCACACCGTTCGGAAATTTATGAACGTCCTCTCGGCTTTATATCAAGTCGAATTACTTACAAAAGATGACTGAGGAAAGATCTGTCACTTATCAAACTTTTGTGGTGGATTCTTTGCAATAGAAAGCATCCAGAAACACAAAAGAGAAAACAAACCGAGAATTGAAACTGTGCATGTTCAAATAATTTTTGCGACAAAAAGAGCGAGGATATCGAGTTCAATGGATCTTTCGGCGCTCTGTTCGACAAAAAGTCGGAGAAGATCTTGAACCCTCAAGCTTTTAAAATATGTCATGTTTCACGTATGAGAGGTGTTTTTATATTTTCACTTGCTGTCGGTACCGTTGCATCATTTCTATCAGTTAGGCAATTTATATGGTTTACATCTTCCATGATATTTTAATGAGCCTTTGACTCGAATCTTTTTAGCACTGAAAAGAATGTCATTAAAGAAGAAGTAAATCTCCCCACTCTTTCGCTGCCTCAATTGGTCGATTTCTGATAGCACCAACTTGTGCATAAATACCATACGGACAAACTTTCTATGAAGTATTCTATAGATATATTTGGGATATGCGGCGCATATAGCAACAGTGATCCATATACTTAAAACTGAGAGGGTCAATCAACAGACTGACAAACCTAAGAACGCTATAGTTTCCCTCAAAACTTCTCGGTTCCGTCATTTATTTAAAAGCTATTTCTACTTCCTAATTGTACAGCAGTCTCTCAAAAATCTTTCCAAGATAGATATTCAGGTAAATAAATTTAAAAAATGAAAACAAGAAAAGGCAAGGGCAGAACAGCTTACCAGAACTATTAATTGTAGTGGTGCTGTAGTCCTGAGTTGACTGTGGTCCTGAGTACAAGATACAATATTCACACTGAGTATTGAGCTCAACAAGATAGATATTTAAGCAAATGAAATGAAAATATTAAAAACGGAGAAAGACAAGGGAAAGGAGAGCTTACCAGAACTCTTCGTTGTGGTGGTACTGTAGTCTTGAGTTGACTGTGGTCCTGAGTAATAAACACAATATTTACTCTCAGAGAGAGAAAAACGGAAAAGGGTAGGAACAGAACAGCTTACCAGAGCTATTAATTATAGTGGTGTTGTAGTTCTGAGTTGATCGTGGTCCTGATTACAAGATACAATATTCACTCCGAGTATCGAGGTCAACGAGATAAATATTCAGGAAGACGAATTTAAAAATTGGAAACGGAAAAAAGGTAAGGGCAGAACAGCTTACCATAGCTCTTAATTGTAGTGGCGCTGTAGTTCTGAGTGGACCGTGGTCCTGAGTACAAGGTACAATATTCACTCTGAGTATTGAGGTACACGATATAGATATTCAAGTAAATAAAATTAAAATACTAAAAACGGAGAAATGCAAGGAAGAGGAGAGCTTATCAGAACTCTTCATTGTAGTGGTACTGTAGTCTTGAGTTGACTGTGGTTGATGGTGCATGATGATATATAGACATTGATTTAATTTAGAAGAGAGAAAGGTATGCGCAACTTCAAAAATTTCAGTGTTCTCTAATAAGCTTCGGTCGCTGGAAAGTATAAACGTGTACCCACATAAAAAATACTAATCGACTTGATATCCATGCATTCCTTACCTTTTTTTTCCAGATGTATTACGTGTAAACACTTCATTGTCCACTCGTCTGATTGCAACCCTCTGAACCTTGCCGAAACTTCGTATAGTCCACTATCGTTTACAGTGACATCGAAAATGTTTATCATCAAATGGGTTTGGTTCCACTTCCTAAATTCTATCTTCTCCTTCAGACAAATCTCCATCAATGGGCCGGAACAAGTGCCTTCTGATTCATATCGGTTCATGAAGGCAAATAAGGACGAATGTGCGTATGCGCGATAGACACGAAAATCTTCCATATTCTCACGAATTGATCTATTGTAAAATAATCTTGCGTCCTCTCCGGATCTGTTTTCTATGATTGGATCTGTAGAATTAGGGCAGGCTTTCCCAGTAGTTGCCTCTGTAGCTGCAAAATATGTGTACAAAAAGAAACAGATTTTAGAAGTAATCTGCACAATTTTTTCTGGGTAATTCTCACGAATTAATAGGTGTAGAATTCATACTCTTCCAAAACTCCTTCAACGCTCCGTTCAAATATACACACAGTTCACCGCATTTTCCAAAATCATTCATATTCAAATGTCAACGATTTTGTTTCGGTCAAGAAAACTTTGGATTCAGTGTTTAGTTTTCCAGATGAATTTGAGCAAATGTCCACTGCGAAGGGACATTTGCTCATAGTAGCTATTTTGGATGGTCTCAGTTGCTAAAATTTAATCGTCAATCGTCAAAAATGATAAATTTTTATTGTAAATCGTCTAAAAAGCAGCTCAATAATGACTGTCAGACGCCTTAAAGGTCTTTCGGATCTCTCTCTCGCTCGCTTTTCCCCATTTTCGCTGCTTCCCGCGAACAGTTGCAGACCTTATGGAATCTTTAAACCATTGTAAACCAGTATCCAGGTTTTCATTTATATATTCATTTCATCTTGTCATGTTCACTGATTTTCGCCTAAATTGACAGTTTGAAAATATTTTGATATCTGATTTTAATAGATACTGAATATGTAAAAATGGCTATCTTCTTTGAATAAGTTCTCAACTCCAGCCGGTGGCGTCGCACGCAGCTTTATTCCCGCCGTTCGACCAAGTCAGAAAAGTTCACATCATGTCCAGCATGTTGAAAACTGTCGTGAGCTTCTATCGTTGAAGAGAAGATAAAACTTTCCAGTGATTTAAGACAGGACTTTCTGTTAAGGAAAAAGCATCTGAAGTCTTCAGCAATTGATTTCCAAGGATTCCGAAAATCCACCTCACGAGCCATGGATAGCCGCCTGCAGTTAATGTTTAACATGTAGCATGCGAGAATATTTTGTACGAGCAATGAGCGAAACGTCCGCTCGTATTAGGTGGTAAAGCATCAAAGAAATATTTCTGGTTAGATGTTTTGGTGTGTGGTATCGCTGAATATTTTTATAAGTCGTGCCGCCAACAAACAATTAGTAAAAATACTCAGCGCTACTACACACCAAAACGTTTAATAAGGTGTTTATTATCTAGCTGCTTATTTTATACACATAGTAAAGAGTGGGAAAAGCAGAGAAGGTAGAGTAGCGTAGAGAGCGTAGCCAACCGTTTAAACAGGTTATTTACAGTAAAAAGATTAACCAAAGATTAACACTCCTCAGCAAGGCTCTTCGGTGATTTTGCTTTTTGTCTTTTATCACTTCATTTAGAATAAACAAGGGAACATACAATACAATTAATAACTTCGCACATTACCCCGAAACGGGCAGCCGAGACATTCAAGTAAACAATCAACTTGGCCATACATATATCAGTTGCACATTTGTTCCAGATAACTTGAAGTTATCTTACATTTATTCAAATTATTTGACTTGCTATCAAAGAAATACCCTTCTATTCCTGGCTTCATTAACACGTGCATTCAAACTCTTGTCATGTCCTTTCATTCAACGGAATTACAGCCCTTCGCTTCAGACGGAAAGCTCAACCGGTGGTTTTCTGAATAAAAACTGTCGAGTTTTTAAGGTGGTACGGGAGGCTAGCTTAATGTTTTTAGACTGCCTTTATTTTCTGGTGATTGCATAATTACCCAATAAGAAAGGTCTGTACCAAATTTGAAGTCTCGGGAGGAACGCGTTTATAAGATGTAGGCGACGGAAGTTTTGTTTTCAAGGGCTGCGAAAAACAAGACTACATACTAAGTTCGTTGTGGTCTGTGAAAGGTCTGACCACAACTCAAGTCAACTGAGGGTGAATAGAGCAATAGGAAGCTGGATGTTTCTAACTAAATCTTTTCGAAGACTATTTAACTATAAGGAGCTTTCTTTTCTATATAAAATTATCACACACACTAATAATGATAAGGGGTTTACCGAAACATTCAAGCTAGCTCACACCTTGAAAGCTCTTCAATCAATTATTTGACCTTACCTCGAGACATAGCAGTAAGACGTGTTAATGTCCAGCCCAGGATGAAAAATAATTCCCACCGACGGAACATGGTCTGAGTTAACGCGCGATTGTTGTGCCTACCAGCTGCTCTCACCCCACCGGAACAACGTTCTTGCACATGATGTCACATCACATGGGTGTACCTATTGTGTGAATATTATTTCGTGTGTATTTCGTAAAGAGTGGGAAAAGCGAAGAAGGTAGAGTAGCGTAGAGCGCGTAGCCGACCGCTTAAACAGGTTATTTTACAATAATGAAAAAAAAAAATAACTGTCGCAGGATATTTCTACTCGATTTTTGCGTTCTTTGTACTCTTATTGGTGCAGTTTGATAATGACATGGCTTATTTTGCGCGTTCCGATGCCCTAACATGGTAAAATGACGTAATAGTGGAATAATAAAATATAGTACACAACAATTGTGATTAGCACTCCACAGCAAGGCTATTCGGCGACTTTGATTTTTGTCTTTTATCACTTAATATAAAATAAGCAAGAAAACGTTCAGTAAAATAAACAACTTCACACATTGCCCTGAAAAAGACAGCCGAGACATTTAAGCAAACAATCGACATGGTAATAAATATGTCAGTGGCACATTTCTCCCAGGTAACTTGAAGTTATCTTACATTCATTTTAATTGTTTGACTTGCAATCACCGAATAATCCTTCTATTCCTGGCTTCATTAGCACGTTCATTCAAACTGTTGCAAAGGGTGAGATGCGTACATAATGTCCTTTCATTCAACAGAATTACAGCCCGTCGCTTTGGACTAACAAAGCTCAACCGGTGGTTTACTGCATAAATACTGTCGAGTTTTTAAGGTGGTACGAGAGGTTAGCTTGATGTTTTCAGACTGCCCTTATTTTCTGGTGATTGCATGACTACCCAACAAGAAAGGTCTGTAATAAATTTGAAGTCTCGGGAGGAACGCCTTTAAGTCATAGGCGACGGAAGTTTTGTTTCCAAGGGGTGCGAAAAACAAGACTACATACCGAGTTCGTTGTAGACTGATAAAGGTCCAACCACAACACAAGTCAACTGAGGGGTAACAGAGCAATAGGAGGCTGGATTTTTTTAACTAAATCTTTTCGAAGACTGATCAGTAAAGGTCATTGAAGTACGAGGAGCTATAATCTATAAAAATTTATCACACACACACACTAATTATGATAGGGGGGGGTTTACCAAAACATTCAAGCTAGCTCACCCCATGAAAGCTCTTCAATCAATTATTTGACCTTACCTTGAGACATAGCAGAAAGACATGTTAATGTCCAGCCGAGGATGGAGTCCAGCCCTTACAGCTGGATCGATTTAGCCCAAAAAATTGGTGCCAAAAGCCCCATTTTAGTGGGGCAGAATTGACCCAATAGGGCTGTGTCTCCAAACAAACACCAAAAAATAATGAAAAGAAGTGAAGATCCAAATAAATAGGAGAAACCCTCTCCTACCTTCCAAATCCAGCTCTTGTCGCTTAAAATTTGCGCACAGGCATGCTGGATATTCTCTGAAGGAAGATAACTCGCACGTTCGGACTGGGTGTATTCACACCCTTGCAGAAGACATAGCATATACTCATCACCTTTATCTTATTGACAAATGAGTAAAAGGGGTAAGTTTCTAAAGAAACTGTGGTGCTGCGTCGCCGGGAGAGTATAACAGCTAGGGGTAATTGAGTATTATCGTCTGAGTTGATAACGCAAATTGGCCACAGTAAAGAGTTCTAAAGCTGAAGTTTCGAGCGTTGGCCCTTCGTCAGAGCAAATGGAAGAATTTATTTATTTATTTATTTTTTTATGCCCGTGACGAAAAACATCTTTCTCTAAGAATAAAGTAGTTGAATAAAAAGCGCTCGTTTATACCGTGGTCAATTTCTCCATTCGCTCTGACGAAGGGCTAACGCTCGAACGTCAGTTTTTAAACTCTTTACGGTGGCCAATTTACGTTATCAACTCAAATGATGATACTAAATTACCTTTTTTTATTGTTAGTCTTAATTATTTGCTTTACGTTATTCATGTCTTGTTGTTTGCAATAATTAAATATTTAAATTTTTAGCGGTCTGCTACTTTGTGATAATTGTTTTCGTCTTTAACAGCTCCATTTCTGTTCAAGAGCTTTAAGATCGACCAGGTTTCAGTACTCACAGGCAGACAACCCTGTGGGTTTGAGGCCGTGTGACGTCAGTTATTTGATACGCTGGTTGAACTCATATTGTTTGTAATTTGCAACGGTCGATCACGGCAAGGCGCAAGTGATCCCGAAAATTCTTCATAAATTCCGCAAATCATAACATTTCACCCCCCAAATCCGCTTAATGACAGTCAGATAAATAAAGTTTACTTACCTTAATATGTCTGTGTTGTCTCGAGTGATTTTGCGGGGTTTTGGAACGGTTAATTCCCTACTTTGCATCAGTGCAAAGTGGGGAATATATTAACCGTCCCAAAACCCCGCATAGATTCTCACAATAAAAGGCACCTCGAAAATGAACTTGGAGTAAGGGTATTCTGATGACTTGATCGAAAGAGAGCATGCATGTCATGAAGGCGTGGGAACGGAAGAAAGTGATGTCAGACACTTGCAAGTTCCAGTGCCTGGTAACGGCGGCTCGAGAACTATCGTTTGAGATAGTAGCCCGGCAAGATGAAGATTTTTACTCGTGCACCGAAAACACTATATTCAGACTAGCGGGGCTGCGCACATCACATAGTATGAGTGAGGCTTTAGACTGACATTACAGTTGTTAGCGCGTCACGCTCAAATATAGACATTCTCTCATCTCCCCAAAATCCAGAAATAGGCCTCATTGTCATGATAATCTTTCTACACAATAGATGGAATGACTCATCGAAAATCGATGACAGATGAGATTCATCATAACTTCACGTTATTGCAGTGATTCATTATGGCCGCTACGGATGTACATTTAAAACTAGTATTCTTACTCAGCAGCTTCATCGTATGCATTTTAGTACCGATTCAAGGTAAGTTGAGTCGTAAGCTTTTAGGGTTTACGTGTATTTCATAACGGTAAGCATTGAAATGACTGTCACTGTCTGCAGTTATGCTTTGAAACTGGAAAGTGAAACCGGAAAGTTCTACTTCGAATTTGCTCCATCATGCCGTTCGCTCTACCAAACTTACTTTTCTGACTTCCAACAAAGTTGCGCTGCTAAGCCATGGCTGGTGTGCACTGATAGAGAAGTTTTAAAGTTGTATTTGGTAAAGTTATTGCTTCTTTAAAGCTACAGTGTGTCGTATTCGGGTGAAGTTGCTCATCCATTAAATAAGGTCGATTTAGCAGTTCAAAGCTTACTGCTTTTCTCGGAAACATTGTAAATTTAATGCTTGTTGAACCCTCGTGTTCCCTTTGATCCTCTGTATTTAAATTGGTTATAATACAGTTTGCCGCGCTATGCATAGATAGCCAGCGCTCATGTCCGGAATCAGGGAAATTATGAGAAAATCATGAAAAGTATCAACTTAAGAATATAATGGTAGGTTGGAGGGTACATTTGATTGATTGAATGGTAACTTATTATCACTAGAATTACTGTTCTCATTATTATCTTCATTATTTTCCTGGTCTTTCATATCCTATTTTTGAATTAATACATTAATTAATTAATGTTTTTATTTCTTTGATTTCATCTATCATCAGTCTGTGGTGACATGCGCTTCACAAATGACAAGCCAAAAGATTCTATCAAAGCTTCTCTAGGTGATAACGTGCCTTTACGCTGGACCTTTACATATAACGATGATGGAAAAAATTCAGCTGGCCCATGGCGTGCTCGGGGAGTGCACGAAATCATCTTTGGCCAGTGGAAATCTACATATGGTAAAATCCTTTTTTTCGAGAAAATTGTAGCAGTTGACAATAGTGGTAATTTCACTGTGCGAGATGGAAATAAAGATAAAATAGACTGGAACTTCTCAAAAGACCAATTAACATTCACAATAAAAAACATGGCTCTTAAGGATCAAGCAAAATATGGAGTGCATGTTGAGCTTGGCTTGGATCAGAGCCCCTTGGAGCATTTTGTCAACGTTGAAGTTGTGAGTAAACAAGTCAGCAAAGATCAAAGCACAAATGTCCGAAATGGTGAGTTTAAATAATACAATAATGTCTTTAATACCTTTAACTAAAAGAAAATGTGATTGTCAACGTATTTTCGCCTTTGCGCATAAAAACACAAAAATCAGTCTGTTGTAATCTTCCATGCACTTTCACTATGTGACACTTTGTTTTCTGAAGATTATGATCCTCAAAATAGTGAGATTCTATTTCTTATCTAGTTTCAGCCTATACATCCGAAACTGTCGACATCTTGTTTACACGATCAAAGGATGACTCCTCGAAAAATTTCCGCAAGTATGAAATCTTGAAAAAATACTCCCTCATCACTCTTGGAAAAGAAAAAGACGGAAAGAATAAATTCTTTTGTAAAGATAACACTAGTCACACAGCTACCTGCGAGGAGCGTTTCTCTTTTCGCTATGTGAACAGCAGCTACGTGTCCTTCCAAATTAGAAATGTAACGTCTCAAGACGCAGGTCTATACTTCTGTCAAACGTATTTCAGGGGGGTTAACAAAGAGAACGACCCACAATACGAACATGTCAATTTGATTGTACAAGGTAAAGTATGCACGTGTACCTGCTTATAATCTGGTCATTCTTTCATGCAGATTTTATTTATTAGCTCCTTCATTCATTGCAATATTTGAGAAGTTTTCAATCCTTTTTATCTGAGGTAAAACAAAGTAAATCTGACATGCAGAACAGATGGGATTTTCTCAGCCATTCTCTATAAATTAGTGACGTTTCTTTAATTGAAATGTAAAAAAGTCCTAATTGTTCCTTTCGCTTCATTTAATGAGATTAAAATTCCCTCACTTCTGTCTATGTTTTTAATAACACTATTCGAATATTTGACCTACAAAATGACTGCATTTTTTTCTATTTGGTTGGCACAACTTGGAAATGTGGCCTACACACAAAATGCAGTACGAAGAATGTGAACTGAATTCAGAATACAGACCAAAAAGACTAGATTATAAAAATTATAATATTTTATCGCGTTTAAGGTCGACTTAAACAAAAAACTGTTTTTGTTTTTAGTCTACATTTTGCACCCGGTCTGCTGCTCGCATTTATTATTATCTTTTTTCTCCTTTTTTTAAAGGTCACCCTACAGTTCTCACTACTTCAGCTTTCACGACTACAAGTGATCAGTCTGGTTGGTAATTTGCTGATTGACTGAAAACTGGCACTATAGTAACGTATTCTTTAATTGAAATGAAAAAAAGTATTAGTTGTTCCTTTCGTTTCATTTTGATGAGATTAAAGTTCTCTCACTTCTGTTTATGTTTTTAACGACACCATTCGAAAATTTTACCTAATAAAAGAATGCATTTTTTTTATTCGGTTGGTACAGAGTGCATACTAATTGGAAATATAGCCTACACACAAAATGCAGTGCGCAGGATGCGAACTGAATTCAGAATACAGACGAAAAACCTAGATTGTAAAAGTTATAATATTTTATCGCGTTTAAGGTCGACTTAGACTACATAAGTCTACATTTTGCACACGGTCTGCTGCTCGCATTTATGACTAACTTTTTTTTCCTTTTAACATATCACGTTTCAGTTTATCCTACTTCAGCTTCCATGGCTACAAGTGATCATTCTGGTTGGTAATTTGCTTATTAACTGAGAACTGATAGAAAAATGTAAAGTGAAAAAAAAGAAAGTAAAATAAGTTCACAATAAAAAAATAACCTGGGACGCAATAGATAGAGAACGAGTCATTAAGAGTAGAATACAGTGGCTTTAAATTGCATAAGAGTGAAGCAATTAACAATGACTCTTGTGCCTGATTTAGTTGGGTGATTGGTTTAAAGTACCCTGGATACCTTGAAAGGAACGGCAAATCGTGGAAGTACCTTAGATTGGCATAGAGTGCTGGTATGGTACAAAATGGAGTAGAGTTGTCGAGGGAAATTGAAAAGTGTGAAGTTACGTAAAGGGGCTTGGCCCGGGAACGTGTGAGGGAGTGGCAGGAATACATGAAATGATAAGGCAATTTGGTCGGTTGAGGAGAGGCTTGAAGTAACGTAAGAAGAAGCGTAAAATTATCACTGGAATTTTACTAGTGGTTTTATGCAGCCAGGTGATCTGAAAGATTTGAAGTGGCGTGAATTGGAATGGAGTCAAGCCATAGAAAACGTGATGGAGGTGTCCTGCAAGGCGTGGGGTCTAATTTCCTTCGCTGTAGTAGTTCAGGTGGCTGTTGTATAGCGGCTGAATAAAAAACAGCGAATGGTGTGAACTGAAATTTGTCAAGCTCTTATATAAATAAAGTACTTTCTGCTTTTATGTTCTATTTTTATAATTTCACTAAGATCTTTGATTCCTTTTCAGGCCTCCAACCTTGTTTTATTATGCTGGCAACGATAACCGCTATACAAGCCCAGTACCATTAGGGAATGTCACCTGGCAAGCTCCAACAATCATAATGATAATAATTGTAATATTAACATTAATATCACAAATATAAACTATTAATCTTCTCGTTCCTTAAGATGAAACTTTTCGCTGATGATTGTGCAAAACAGAAACGTCGAGAGAAGCTATCTTAATTTTCTTAACTTTAACATGTAAACCTGAGTTATTAACCTGTAAATAGTTATTGGTCAGTGCACGACTACAAGCTGAGTTGGCGTAGAGAAAAATGGCAAAAGTCCACTGTTGTTACAGATACTTTTTTCCGAATTCCAGCTCATGGCATGGGTGTTAGGGATAGGTTTATATCAAAAACCCCGTTTACAGCCGGGCTCTCCTCTTTTTATTTCTTTCCGCCTCTAAAGCCGTTTTTTTCGTTCCCGCTTTCTCGTTCGTCTCTTCTGACCACGAGCCTGATGTAGAATAATGTCCAAGAGGACTCTTATATATCTCGTCAAGTGCCTTGTTGTGCTTAGTCAGGCTAATACTGACTTATGAATAGGATATGATGTAATCATATAGAATGTTCTAGACTGTTCCGCATGTCTAAAAAATTTGAGCTCCGGTTATTACTATTAACCGATAAGCTGACAATAAAGCTGAATATGAAAAAATATTAGGTGACAACTAACTTTGGCACCAGAAGGTTAAATAGCAGCAGTGTATACTCCTATTTCAGTGTGCAGCTGATAAGGTATTTGTTTTTTTGTAACTTCCTGAGAGCGATGCCGAAATAATTTGAGTGTTATCAAGATAACTAATACAGCAATGGAAACAGGCAAATGATCCACACAGGACTTATGTCCTCTGATGATCTTGTTGGCGCCTTAGAAGCTGGAAAATAGAAAAGAGATAACATATAATGAATGGTCGGTGAGAGCAAATGGGGAACTTGTGTAGGTATAATAAGAAACGGAGAGATAAAGATGAGAGGGACATCAACATCAATCCCCCTAAAAGGTTGTCGAAGAGAATATGAAGTTTACCTTCCTGCGTTGTTGGAAACTCGAGTTCAGGGAAATCATTAACTCTTACGATGATTTCCTTACTATCTTTGCCCGCCTGATTATAAGCTTCACACAGGTAAACTCCGCCGTCGCTTCTTTTTAAAGAGTTGAAATACAGAGCTTGGTCTCCAATGGTTTCCCCCAGTCTTTTCCATTTTATGCTAGGTGTGGGAAATCCAGTTGCATGGCATTTTATCATCAGCGGTTCACCATTCCTCATGGAGATGTTTCTTTGGTGAGGAGTGTTGATTTTAGGTGGATCTGATTTAAAAGAAAAAATCCATATTAAAATTTCTATGATTTGTGACGTTCTTAATCACATGTAAGGCTACACAAAGTTTTTTTGTTTTGTCTAGACATAACTATAGAGGCAGTCAGCATCAATTCGCAAAAGTTTCCATGCAATGCAAGACTACCCCACAATCAGCTGAACTCACTTTATCCCTCACAAGTTAAAGACTGTTTATGAATTCAGTTTACTCTTCCTATAAGTTGGCCATTTTTTTAAAAATAAACTAGACTGGTCCCCTTGATCAACTCGATGCTCAATTTTAAAGAGGAACGCAGATCATTGTTAAAAGGTATAGAAGGTAAATAAATCCCTTTAATGTGTTAAGTTCAACCTCTTTCGTCAGATCAAGCAGAATGTACAACAATCGCGAAATTACCTTCAAGACGAAGCATAACACTATCTGTTAAGGGAGTACGACTCAGGTCAAACTCAACTTGAAAGCCGTATTCGTTTTCATCTCCTTTGTTCAAATCGTGTAGAGTGAATGCCACTTGCAGGAGAGAAATGTTGAAGTGGCAGCTTATCTTTTTCTCGTAGTTTGTTCGTACCACTTCTGCGCCGCTATTGTTGATAGCCACCAACTTCTTTTCGAGGAATCCTGGATGCTTCCAGACACCGAAAACCACTTCGACTATAGTATTGCTCCATGTCTCTGTAGGCCGCAGCTTAAACTTCCAGTTTAAAGTTACATCACCTTTGCTTTTATCAATCACGAGTTTGTCAGGGCCAGACACTATCCGTGGAAGCCTCAAATGGCTGGAGACTGCATGCATAACTTATATTGGGAGAAATATTATCATGTTAGGTATTAATATCACATTGAGTGGGATTCGCAAAATGTAAGTGAACTTTATTAGAATGGTCACTTTGGGGCAAAACTTAAACTATCTCAGTAGCAAAACTACTCACCATCCCAGAACCCAAATAATTATACCTAACTGAACCGAAATTAATGTGATGAAGTGGTTTACGGTAGCAGAGATTTCCGTTTTCCGTCGTACAGTAAACCTGATTGAGTCATAATTAAATTCCATTGAGATATACGTTCAGTCATTAAATCCAAGCGTAGATAATTCGTGTTATCCCAGCAATAGCCCAACTACCGAACTATGATAATATGAGTGCATTGTTTCCGACACTGTGCGTACTCCAACAGCTGAGAGAAGACTTGTGATGATAGCTTTAGAAAACATACTTCAGATGAAAGTCGAACATTAATCTCCATAATGTTGCGGTAATGGCCAGTTTGCTGAGCCTCAAAATATTGAGCTTGCAATCGTTGGACATGAGCTATTGAGATTTCAAGGTGCTTTTCTGAGAATTTGATTTTTAGCTATTGGCGCACAACGATTCCTAGAAAACGTTGTTTAGGTCGTTGAATAATGCGTCCAACCGACCCCTGGAGGGATTAATCGCCTAAATTAAACTCTGGATTATCTTAATCAGCTTCTTTGAAGTCCTTTGTATTAACTTCGTTATTGCTATGTAGATTTCAGCCATCAAGGATTGAGTTAAATCTTTTCGGAAGCTATTAATCCACAGTAGTGATACCTCATCTCAGCCGATGCGCTTCACTGGATCAGCCACTCAATTCACTTTCGACTAATTATACCTTTTCCGCTTCACACCAGGATAAGAAAGCGCTTAGAATGCACTCAGACAACTCACTGTTTCTAAAATATTATGACACTCAGCAGTTTAGCATAATTATCCTCGTCTAGAAGGAAACATTTAAGAATTTCAACAGCTACGCAGAAATTTGCATTACGTCGCATCTGTATATACGCATATATACGCATATATATCCGCATCAGACTTACCGAAAGTTCCTCCACCCTGCTATCACTACAATCAAAATTACTCAGAGTGATAACTAGCGGTGTTTCAACTCACCTACGGTGCACACTGACACAAGATGAAAAACTGAAAGCAGCGATGGCGTCTTCATATTTTTGCATAGAGAAATATCGTCTCCCAAGTTAGTTTGATTTCCTTCACTATAATCACATTAAGGGCTCAAACCAAACTTGTAAAGCTACTTTCAAAGCCAGTTTAGCCTGCTGCTAAAGCTGCGAGAATGTTCTTGTTTCCTTCCTAGAAAAACAGACGCCAAAGGGTCACGACGAGGCAGGTTTCCAATGACCCAATCAACGAGGTTTTGAACAACAGCCAATCATGATAATGAATACTATTAATCAATCGAATATTTTTATTATGTAAGGATACATGAAGTGAAACGTCAGAGGTTAACCCTGTCAAGAACACTCCCTATATAAAATATAAAATAAATATACTACAATGTAAAATTTAAGAATAATTAAGAGACGGCTAAAAAAAATTAACAAAATTTTACGATACATTCTAAGTTTACTTCGAAAAATGCTGAAATCCTGTTCATACGCTATCTCTTAGGGAAGGGCGTTCCATTGTTTAATAATTCTCACAAAGAATGAGTGCAAAAAACAATTTACCGTAGCTAATGACTGTCTTAATTTAAATGAATGGTTTGATCTTGTTTCACCATAACAATTAAATTCAAAATAATCAGTACAGTTGAGGCCATTAAGACCAAGAATAGTCATGTAGCACTCTAGAAAAGATAGATAAGACCTCCTTGATTGAAGACTGGACCACCCAAGCATTGCCAGTCTTTCTTCGTACGGAGAGTCCCTAAATGACATCGGGAGAGCGTATTTCGAGGCCCTACGTTGGACTCGTTCAAGAGCGTCAATTTTCTTCTGTAACTAGGGTGACCAGAGAGGGACAGCATATTCTATACGAGCGGAACCTAAGTAACTGACCAATAAGTGAGCCATAAAAGAGGAAAGAGAACAATGAAAAGCGAAAAAAATAAAGAAACGAGAAATGGTGTCGTTGATTCATAACTTAAGGTGTTTAAGAAAACCACGTCAGCAACGGCAACGGGAACATCACTAAACGAAAGGTTTAATGAGCAGAATAATGGCTGAGCACGTGCGTTATAAATTTTTGTAGATTTCTCTGCGTCCTCGGCAAAACAACAACGTGAAATGACCAAACTTTGCGTCGTCTAAAGAACGTGAACAACGACGGCTAATTTTTTAAATTTCTAGTTCTAATTTAAAGCTGCATTTGTTGCCTATTTAGTTTCGAAATAGTATGACCGTGGAAAACAAACATAATGACTTTTGAGTTTCGCGAGATTCATAGGTAAAATGAAGATTCACTTTTTAACCGACGTTGTCCACGGCTTCTCCGTGGTCGTTTCTTAAACTCTCTAATTAGACAGTGCGAGCGCCTACATGTAATTCTGACTACACTATCACGAAACATTCAATGCGAAATAGTTTATTGAGGAATGGTCATTCAGTCATCCGACAACAACAATGTGTCGTAACATATACTTATTACATATACTTATTACAATATAGAATATGCTAGCAAGTCAAACTCGAAAAGCTTGAAAAATTAAGTGTACCACGCCAGATACGAAAAACCACTAAAAAAACCACTCTTTAGATGTGGCCAAAAAATATGTGGAAACGTATTCCCCATCTAATGCAGTGGCACGGAACCTCGGGGAAGAGGTACAAACAAACCCATAACTCCATAGAAAAAATTTAACTAAATTGACAACAGCAAACAGAAAGACTGACTGAGCTAGAATGATTAATATTCCCCGCTAAAACATCAAATACTCAAAACTCTCCCCTGAGAATACTAAAACCTCTCAATCGTGCCATCAGAATAGTAATTTCTGACTAATTCGTTCCTAGTCACTCAACCGTCAGAAATTACATATACTGATCACCCAGAAATAGGTAACTACCTACTCCTAGCCCAGAATAAAGATCCACCATCTAGATTAAAGAAACTACTCTCAGAGAAACAGTACATCTATTTAATTGACACCTGTTCAAAACACGTGCTGCGCCACGTGCTTTAAGGGAAAAAAATGCAGTTAGGCTGTTATACATCATACTGTTTGCGCGCTCGATGCTAACTTTAGAGGGAGCCATATTTCATTTTCGTCTGAGTGAAACGCACTTGTTCTCATATTTTGGAAATTCTCAAGAAAAAAGGAATCAAGCTAATGATACACGCTTAGGGCAAACGTTTTTTAAACTGTAAAGCTTCTACTCAAATCAAGCGATTCTACGAATTCAAAGTAACACAATTTAAAAACTACTCGGCAAGTTAGTGAAAGTTTATTTTTTCTTTACGTGATCATTCATTCTGAGAAAGTAAAATTATACATGCATACCCAGGCAACCTCCTTTTGTTCGCCCTTCGTAATTAGATGCCCTTATGAGCAGCATAAACATCCTGTTCGTGGGTAAATTTTCTACATAAAATGTAACCTGGGGTTTAAATATCTGCTGATGCTAACAGCTATCAAAGCGATTATTCTAAACACTGCTCACGCTTATTGGAGGTCGTGAACGCCAAATTTTTAAACATTCTACCAGAGTAAATGTTGGCCCAGAGTGAGTGTACACTGATCTCGATAAAATAGGTAAAGCATGTCGTTTAAGTTATTTCGTATCTTCGCACCACTTTGACTTTCTTTAAGATGAAATACGGTTTTTTTCCAAGCAATCAAACCCCTTAGATTTTAGCTCTTGGGATTATTGAGGTTTTGAGTTTTGAGTTTGATCACTGAACGTTGAGGTTGAACAAAGTAGGGGTTCCTTAACTCAGCGGGGCAAGATGTTGTTCGACCCTCTACCTCCCTTCCTCCGCCTCTTTCATCTAATTTGATTTAGTGAGCACTTGATGCCTTTTTGGCGTGCCCATCATAATAATTGAAAAATTTATCCCGACTCAAATTTGGCAGGTCTCTGTTTATAGCAGCGCTCTTAATTGCAAACAAAGCTCGTCTATTGTCTAAAAAATCCACGAAAACTCTCTGAAAAAAAATTTTATTTTAAATTCCTCTAAAAAAAGGTGATAAAAATTTTAACAGATAAAACATGGATAATCTGAAGATCGAAATACCTAACATTAAGCATTCGACGACATAGCTATAATTTCTTACATACACAACAAGATAAGGCGAAATAAATTCAAATTTTTTAGTGACTCCCTGTATAAGCCCGACTGTTCATGGTAGCTACTCTTACACGGAGTAATCAATGTAAAGGGTTGTTTTGGGCGCAACAGTCATCAGTCTTCGATAGTGCGTCCTCAAAACATGTGCTAGAACACTTTTCAGTTGAGGCTAGGAACTGAGTAGAATCAATGTATGAGAATGATACACAGAGAAAAAGGGATTAGTCTAAACTAGCTATGATATTTAAAAAAAAATTTTCTGAAAAAATTGGAACTGGAAGGGAATGGCAACTACTGTGGTCTATACTGAAATAATGAGTTAATGCTTCAGACTGACCGCCCTAAAACGCCTTAGTTTTCATTGAACGTTTACAACTCTCTCAGCTATTTCATAGCTATGCCTACTTCTTAATTTTTCAGCAGTCTCTAAACAATATTTCCAGCCGTTATAAATGGCAATGGCCTAATACTGGGATTTATGCTCATGACAACGGTGTTTAGACCTTCTAATTTTCTTGGCATGAGTCACCCAGAATCAAACGCAAAATTCCTTTTTTGTTGGTTTAAGTGGAGATAGAATTATATGCGCCATGTTTAGGGCTCTTTTTATGACTGTGAAAGTAAAGGCCTGCAGTGAGTGTTATCACAACACAGACGATGATTCCACATGCCACCGCCCATTTAAAAGAGGATTTTTCTGATGGTTTTCTTGGCACCGAAACGTCGGGCTCTAGAAAAGAAATAAAACAACAACAACAACAGCCACTGTGTTGATTAAACTGTAGTAGTTGGGTAAGCAGATATGTTTGCATATACAT